AAACTATGTTATGCAAAACAATAAACCGAATAACTTTTGTTTCAAGGTCACATCGAAATTCTTTACCAAATTTAAAATAAAAAATATAACTAAAAAATATTTTATTTTTATTTATTTATGTATTTATTTTGGCCTGGTCGGGCAAGTGACCCCGGATCACTCTGGTAACCTAGGTTTTTAAATAATAATAAAATTATATTTACGTATAAAATTTAATAATACAAGCATTCAAATATTCTTATGGGATAACTATGTAGAAGGTAAAGGCAAGACAGTTAAGGAATAAATATGCAATGTGTTTATGAGTAGATTTGCATAGTGCTTCCAACAGAAAGGTGAATCTATTTAATCATTTTCATGATTTACATGGTTAGACAATGTTTTTTATGAAGTATGCAAAAATCAATAGACCGCCAGTATACACTGACAAATTGGTCAACATAGTACAAATTTATAGGATATGGTTCTTCTTTTAAATTGACCAATCATAGGAGAGCGTCATTGTTGGATGCACTAACCAATCAAATATATTATCAAGTAGATAGTTTTATTGTTTGCAAATTGATTATTAAAGAATAGTATTTCTATAATGGATTGCCCATAGGAATACAGAGTCTCCGTAAGGAATCGAAGGTCATAAGGTACTTGGTCGATGAGACAAGGTTCCTCCATATCATTTTGTCAATTTGGCTCTATGAGGTCTCATACCAAATTGACAAAAAATAGGGTAATTTTCTAATTCTCATGTATGTACTTGATAGTTGAATAACTGCATATTTCCAACCAAAACAAACTAACCTCATCAAATGCACATAAACATGCAATGCCCACGTGCATGATTTGCATATGGATGGAAGATCCACAATTGCATTGTAATGATAATAGTTATGTTTCTCAAAATATACAGTGAGTATTTTTATCCTTCAAAAAATGGGAAAGAGAAAAATGTGGGTTTTGCAAAAAAAATGATTTTTTATGAACCCTAATGGCTAAGCCTAGGTATTCTACATGACCTACAATTTGAAACTTATATCATGCTAATATGAATTTTCGCTTAGTTATTGTTTCTCATTAATGCAAAAGAAAAACATCCAACTAATTGGTTGAATAACATACATATGAGGGCAAGGTAACCGGCGTTCGGGATGGGCCGAACGCCCGAGCCCGAACGCCCGAACGTATGGGACCCCTTGGGGATGCATTCAGCCATTTGGGCTGAACACGGACCCCCCCCCCCAACAAAAAAAATAAAAATAAATAAATAAATATGAAAAAAAAAATGTTATGAAGAAAAATAAATCAAACAAGATTTGCCTATGCATTACATCCAAATTCCTTATCAAATTTGAAATAAAAATAAATTAAAATAAATAAATACTAATAAATTAGTAATAATAAAAATAAATTTAGTGCGTGCGCGAGCACGTTTTCGACACCACCATCTTTGGTGATTTTTTATTTTTGCTTGGCATAACTAAATGCTTTGAAAATTCACAGATGTGGACTTCTCATAATGCAAAACCCACTAAAAAAGTTTCAAAAAATAATAAAATTGCTTAGACCCCGAACTAAAGTGAAAACAACGTGGGCGAGCACGTTTTGACACCGTCATCTTTGGCGATTTTTAATTCTTATTAGGCTGAACCAAATGACTTGAAAATTTATAGGCATGTACCTCACGTCATAGACAACTCGCTAAAAAAAAATTCAGGGAAAAAAAAAGAGTTCTTAGGCCCTGAAATAATTTTTGGCGGGGGCCAAACGCCGTCGGGTTCGGACCCCGTACAGGACCCCGAATACCCGTACATATGGAGGTCTGCCCGGGGACCTCCGTACGTATGGGTTGGTGATCCTGCCTGAGGGTATATTGAAAAAGAAAGTTAAGTGGGTCAGGGTTCTAGCATTAGTGTTAGGTTAGCACCCCACATAGTTTAAGTTATCTCACGAGTTAGTACAACACCACAAATGGTTTAACAAATATAATAGCTTAGTGGTTTGGAGCTAAAAATTTAAGAAGGAGAGGTTAATTGTTTTATTCTGGTAGTCCAATAGGTTACGAGAGCTTACGGGTTTTATTTTGTCATCCCTCAATCTCTCTTTCGCACGTTCAACTGGTGCTAGGTTGGCACCCCACGTACTTGTTCCCAACCAAGTACAGTGTATAAATGTTTCAGTAAACGTAATAACACGGTAGGTTAGAGCCAGATGTAGCAAATGAGAGGCTTACTAAGGGTTCGGTTCTTATTAAACTTGTACATCACAAACTACAAATATTGTTCGGGCATAGACAAAGATGGGTGAGACGTATAGGGGTTGGTTGTAGGACCTTGTTGCAGAGCGCGAAGTAATTTGGTCGCCAGAGGGATAAGCTCAAGCGATGTTGGTCTCATGCCAAACTTTGAGAAAGAAAATTGACGTGCGGTTTGCTCTAATGGAGTGAATAATCATGTAGTAGGTTACCTTAGGGCCTTGTTGTAGAAGGGTTAGGACCGCATGTGGGATGGTTCAAGGAGAAAGTCATTGTGTAAGAATTGTCTGTTTCCCATTCGTAATAGACTAGAGTTGGCCCATTTCATGATAAAGGTAGGGACGGGTGGAAACCGTGTACTTTCTTATGATTGAGATTGATATAACTACAGGTGATGACATGAAAGAACGACAGTGACTGGTTGAAGGAGATCTTTCTACTGTTGACAGAGGCTAGAGTACTTTCATATGATATATATAACTAAAATAATGTTCCCACTGTTGACAGAGACTATAGTACTTTCATATGATATATATAACTAAAATAATGTTCCCACTGTTGACAGAGACTATAGTACTTTCATATGATATATACAACTAAAATAATGTTCCCACTGTTGACAGAGGCTATAGTACTTTCATATGATATATATAACTAAAATAATTAAAACAATGATAGCATAACCACAACAATTGAAAAAAACGTCTAGTTGACAATCGAGGTAGTAAGGTGCAAATGTTAGTCATACACATGCGGATGACAGATACCTCTGGGTT